ATACTACACCATGCGAGTGCAAATTTCTGGGCACTCTAGTGTTCAATTATCTTCCACCTTCGGATCACGAAAGGCTCGAAAGCCAATCTATATCCTTAGGTTTAAGAAAATTGAACAGGGGCAACTGTTGTACCTCAAAATTTTCCCTCCCATATTTCCCAAGACATTTCAAGAATAACTTTTGAGTTGCTCAAGATGGCTCAAGAGTTGGACAGTCAAATCATCTCCTAAGGCAGTCAATCTCAAACTAGGGTTTTGTGTTGCATCAAGGTCCTTGCATCCAAATGGCCTAAAGTTCTCCCCAATGCCCCAATATTGTCTCAAGTTCATCCATGTAAAATTTCAAGCCTTGCAGAGAAAGTTTGGTCAGTCAATTGCTCAAGAAGTCCAAAAATCGACTGTGCTAGGGAAAAGTCAATTGTGACCTACAAATAGTCAAACCTCAAGATTTTTTGTCAACATTCTCATTTTTAAGTATAATTCATAATTTGATCAAATTTTGATCATGATTCATCAAGGATTGCTCAAAGATTCATCAAGATTCAAAAGTTGCTAAATTAGGGTTTTGTAGGAAAAGTCAACTCAACTTTGACCAAGCATAACTTCCTCATACTTTATTAGAAATGACCCATCCAAAGCTCATTTTGAATATGATGAAATTTACTACAATCCATCTTCACACCCAAAGATCAATAAATGCACTCACAAAAAGTTACAAATTTGGACATTATAGGTCATTTTTGAAAGTCAACAAAAACACCTTTTGTGCAAAAGCTTATAACTTGCGCATGAAATATCAAAATGAGATGAGACCAAAAGGGTTGGTTAGAGGACATATAAAGGTTTCTAAAAAGTCCAAAAAAACCTCCAAAAGTTCAAAATTGAGGAAGTTATGCATTGTTGAAGTTGGGAATTTTTCCAAAATTGCCAAAAGTCAACTATCCTCAAAACTCCAATTTTTGACAAAAGGGCCCACTTTTTTCACCTTGATTTGTTCTTGTCACACCACACACGTGTCCTATCTTCAGTTTCATGTCCATTCATTAATTTTTCTATTTTATTTAATTTTTATTGAATTAATTCATTTTAAATCAATATTAATTCAAATAAAATCCAAAAATTGATGGAATAAGATCTTTTTGATCATTACAGCTTTCAATTAACATGATACACCCAATCAAATTCGTATCAAGCTTTATTATGCACAAAATATTTGATTTGAGACATTTTTGGAAGTTTGTTAATGGAAGATCATATCAAATCTTGATTCATCAATTCCCATGGATTCAAGCCCAAGTTTTTAACCTAATTGCTTCTAATATACATGTACAAGGAAAAGGCATCGAACACAGGACCAAAAAGCTGCAGAAACGGCCAAACAAAACTTGAAAAAAAGCTAGAAAATCTTGAAACTGAAATCATACTTAGAGGTCGATTCAATCCAAAATCTCAACGTGGTGTTCTTGTTTGCAATCCACTGAAGCTATAGCAATCAGAACCAAGCCCTCTCATTGCCTGAAACGCCCTGTAAGTCGTCCTGAACATAGCTCTGAACATGAAATCGTGAATCCATGTTCTTGCATCTTTTTGCCAAAATTTTTGTATAATCATGCTTGCCATTCAATTTCTGAACTTTCTGTATCATTTAATTTCGTTTTCATGGCCTTTAACGTAATACCCGAACCTAGGGTTTCCATTCCTTGTTTTTAGGCATTTTTGATACAGGCAAAATCAAGACAAACGATGACCATGGTTGTGTTCAGGGAGGAGAGACGAACACGTTGATGTTTTTAGTTTGTATTTAGATGGCCTGGAATTCATGTTAGAAGCAAGCCACGGATTTTGTTACGAACCCAAATCCGCAGGAAAAAATACAGGTTCTGTTGAAGAAGACGAAGACGTGGCTTGTCTTCATTGGCCCGTTCAAATTAAATCTCGCGCGTTTTTTATTTTCCAGTATATTATTGGCTTTTCTCTTATAATATTATTTGTCCATTATAATAACAAACAGGCGCGTTAGTAGGGTTGGTAAGCATGTTAGTGGATTGTCCATTGGGACCTGGGTTCGAATCCCAGGTCCCCCAATACATTTGTGTATTTTTTATCCAGGCAATTGCATGTGCTCTCCAAAGCGTTGGTCCACCATATTCCTCATCCCATCAGGCGCCAGATAGCTTCAGATCAAGTCCAATGGCCAAGATTGAGCGCCTACCATGAACTCTAGTCAACAGGCGCGCGTGAGATCCTGGAAAGTCAAACAAGGCTGGCTTGATTTGGGCCTCAGAATTGCAAATTTCACCCCCTTTCCAGGCCCAACACCCCCATTGGTTTATTCCTTTTCTTTTATATTTCTTATTATTTATTTGATTTTAGTTATTATTTTTATTGTTTAAATCAACCAATTAGAAATCATTTTCCTTAATAAAATCAAAACCACAAAAAATATTATTTTTATTAATTTCATTATTTTTGTAAATAAATATTAATTAATTAATTTAGTGTTAATTAGGTTAATTTTAACATTTTTGCAATAAAATTAAAATCAATTTAAAATATTAGGTTTTACTAACTTTTAACCATTTTATTTTATTTCCTTAAATATAAAAAAATCCAAGAATATTTTTATTAATTAATTAATTAATTTTGACTTAATTTATTTTTTTTTAAATTCAAAAATAACAAAAACATGCTTTCTTTAACAAAAAGGGTCAAAACCCTAAAAAATGCGCCGATTTAATTTCTTGCACGCGATTCATTTGATCCAATATTGTAATTGCTTCCGGTATGTAATAGATTTTAATTAGGACTTTAATTATTTATCGCTTTATTTTACTTTCCGCAATTTAAATTAAAGGGTTTGTTTTTGGCGATGTAAATTCCCGACGCCTTGTAATAGTTTAGATTTAATTTCCGCAAATTTAATTTCCACAACTATAAACTGTTAGATGTTTGATAATATGGAATGCATGACAAGATTCAATGTATGAAATTAAAATCAACATAGATAACCCATGATATGTACAAAGATAAATAACTGAAAAACAATACACTCGCACATGTGCACTCTTAGGGTACACCTCACTTGGTTGCCTTCGAAAGTGGTCATTGAGTATAGGAAGTTTTAGAGGTCGCCCTCTTGTCCAAGGATCATAGTTGCCTCGAAACGGTTGCCTCGGAAAAATGATCTAAGACATTAGGGTTACCGCTAAGGCATTCTAACATTGCTTTAGTGACCACACGTCCGTTAATCGAATTGACCCTTAAAACTCCAACGACGATGCTACCTACTCATCAATAGTGGGATAGCATTGTCTAAAGGACATTAGCACAGTTTGATTCCTTTTTCGAGTAGGTAGGTGGTTCTTAAGTACTTGCTCTTTTCAAAACAAAACAAAACTTTTCGCACTTACACTCCTTTCAAAACAAAACTTCTTTCAAACCCACAAACACAAAGAAAAGCAAATTTTGAAAACACAATGAGCAAGTACCTAAGATCCCGTGGATAACCATGGATAGAAAGGGTGCTAACACCTTCCCTTTCTATAAATCTACCTCCCGAACCCGAGAAACATCTTGAAAAAGGAATTTTTCTGTGCTTTTGTCTTTTCCTTGTTGGATAAAATAAAAGACGGTGGCGACTCTCGTTTACTGCGACATTTTGCAAAAACAAACGCAAACGCGAACCAGCATTCCAAAACAGTCAGTTCTCTATTCCCACCGATCACAGCCACCCCTTCAGGCTCGTCCTCCGCGGGCAGCATAACAGCCTTCAAATCTTCGACCTCTCTCAATAAATCGTATGCCTAAACATATGAACGCCGCGGGCATGATCATGAATCAGACACCTAAAGCGCTTGAATTTCCCGGACATAATCCCCAGACACGAAATTCTACCACTAAACACCATCAAAATCTATCTACAACACAAGATAACAAAGAAAAAGAACACTTACTTGGAGGAAAAGTGAGGAGCGACGGTTGTGGAGATAAATACACAGTGGACTGTGCGGTGGTCTCAGTAACACTAGGAAAACGCGCGGTGTTGACGGCAGAGAAAATATGAGAGCGTGAAAATGTGAAAACAAGTTATGGGCCCTGAAGCCCTATTTATAAAAATGACGTGGAATGTGAAACGTCGCGTTGGGGAATCACAAACTGCCTTTATCCTCGACAGCTACATGCATAGATAATGATGGCCCCTACTCCCTAGGCCGCCATTGTGGTTTCCAAGAGCCACGCCACGTGTCTGACTAGTGTATCATCCTCTCCCCGCGAGTACTCCTCGAACACTCTTCGACCGCTGCACGAAGCAAATCACGAACCAGGCGACGTCTCCCGTCCACGGTAGAAAAACCCTGTGTCGCGCAGCGAGTCTCGCGAAGGGGCGAACTTGAATCAAGTCATAACTCCTTTACCAGGAGCAACGACTTGGGGGACTCCTGTTCTGGATTGGGGGCTATAAATACTCTCTCTTTCGAGAGGGTCGGGTATAACATGTAATTCCATAGTTCAAACATAGTGAATATTCAGAATTTTCATTTGAAAAAACAGTTTATGTCAAAAGTTGCTTTAAAAGCTGCTTCTTCATATTAGAATTTCGCAAGTTCAATGTTCTGTAAACTGACATTACAATAATTAATTGCAGGCCTCTTGGATACACTAGGCCTAGTGAAAAACAATAATGAACAAATCCAAGTAACAAACATGAAACTCAACCATTCAAACCAATAGGAAAAATGAAATTTCTTAATGTGTTTCTAATTTCTATCTCTATAACTTTCAAGACAAAAACAGGCGGAGTTGGTAATTAACTGTTTTATCTGTTTCCAATGAATCGTTGAAGACCGACTTTTACTTGACCTGTAACCGTGGATCAAGATATTTGTTTCCCTTCACAATGGCATAAAGACCAGCTTTTAAATTGCTCAAATCTAAGCATCTGAAGCTGTGTATGCCAAGTTCAAATTAGTTCTTTAAACAGCTTCACTCAACTGTACCTGCTATTTCGGGTATTCATTGTTTCTAATAATCACGCCATCAAGATCAGATTGTAACTTGCTCACATCTAAGCTTCTTGAAGTGGAAGGTGTGGCTGCCAGTTTCATTTCATAGTCAGATACTTCTCTTCTAATTCTATTCGTTGCCAGAATATTCTCAGATATTTGTTCGAAACCTTTATGAATGTTTACCAGGAGTTTATAAACCTGCTGCCCTGTTGGATCTTTCTTTGCTTCCCTGCAGAGGTAAGAATGTAAAAACAAATTGTACAATGCTTACTTTTAGTGAGAAAATAAAATCAACCATGGAAAAAAAAAGTAGCAAGATCTCTACTAAAACAAGGTGCTACATTGTTTCATCATTAATGTTACAAATACACGAAAAACTTTCATACCTAAAGACAATTTCATCGGCAACAGCATAAGTTCGATGCAAACTTTCCTGGATAGAATTACTTTCCAATTGAACCTCCCTAGTTTCTTTTAAAATTCTCTCAATATCAGCATCTTGTTTGCGGCTATTTTTCGTAATCTCCTCAATACGGTGAGTATATGATTTCCTAGATGCTACTTTCTGCTGCTTTTCCAGATCTGCAAAAAGTTTTGAATGTTCCTCCTCCCTAGTGAGAGAGGATATGCAAGTCAATACATATGTACCATCCTGGTAAATCTGATTATTTAAGACATCAGTATACCAAAAGTATTAAACAGTTAAGATAAAACAAGTTGAAAATTTTGACCCCAAAAGCTCGGTTTGGTAAGAAGTAGCATATGGAAGACAAGCTACCTGATAGAGGATAAACTAACAAACTGAATTTGAAGTGTTCGGTAAAATTAGTGTTTGAACTACCTAATAAATCTAAAGTGACATAAAATAACGCTTGCTGCACTGGCGCAACCGACTTCTAAGTGGGGTCGGCTATATGGATCAATTTCAGCCATAATGTTCCAGGACCGTGATTCTATCCATATCGTCAATCTCAAGATTTTTCTTAATAACTTCTCTTATAATCCAACAAAATGGCTTTAATGCAAAAAATTAGAGAGAACTTCTAACAAGTTTCCATTTTCAGTAATCATGATAAAAAAAAGAAGGCATCAATCTTCATTTAAGCAATACTTGATGGAAATCAAGAAGGATGCTAAAAGGAAAAGCTGTAAGTATGAATCACCAATTCCCAAACAAAAATGTAAAACATGTGACTCAATGAATGTCTCTAGCAAGGGCTTGTAAGAAGAGGCTTATAATGTACATTCGGCAAAAAAAAAAGTGAAACGAACTAACATAGAATTTGGAAATGCACCTCTTTCTAATTTCAGATGAAATGAACTCTTCTTCCAGTTGCACTTCTCTCAATTTTTGGAGCATTGCCTGTGCATCTGGACTGTTTGAATACAGAGATTCCTCAAGAGTTCTCTTTCTCTCTTCCAAGGGTTTTCTTACAGCATCCCTGCGACACATTGAAATCCAGCAAAGATAACAATATTTCACTCTCCATTCTCTTATAGAAAAGGAAAGATAATAATCATGTGCTCAAAATATAATATCAGTTTTGTCTTACAAATGTATGCACACATTTATGTGTGTGAACGTGCATGTATATGAAAATTTCTTATAGGGAAGAGAAAAGTTCAACGCTGAATAATTCTATGGTGTGCCTATGTTGATCCATAAGCCTATAGTAAACATCTATATTATATACAGTAATTTGTGGTAAATGATTCAGACACTTTGACCTACCAATCTAACTCCAAAGTCGAAAGGTAATCTCTTTTAGCATGTACTTGTTCAGTCAACTGGTCAAAGTAGAAGTCAATAGACCGTTGGTTATCAAACGCCATTTCAGCTGCTGCTTTCATCAGTTCCAATTCATGTTCAAGATGTTCCACTTTTGAAGTCCTTATAGTTACTTCATCCACGAGTTCTTTCTCCTGAATTTGATATCTATCAGTTTCAAGTTTGCACATGCAGCAGTATCATAAGGCAAAATCAGATTTTTTTTAAGCATCCATCATGTTTTCTATGTTCTACACATTTTATATGTTTGGAGATATTAAATGTAAAAAGGAAAGAGCTGAATATAAGCATTATTTTTTGACTAGGTGTCAGCTTAAGAACAGAATATCATGAGAGTTTTCACGAAAGATACCTTTTGTTGCGAGTCTGTCAAACGTCCATCAACAATAGGAGCAGAATTTTCTTCATTTCCAAATGACCCCATTCCTGCATCAACCTCTTCTACAGCTAATTTCTTTTCATTTAATAAACAGTTTAATTCATCATTCACAGAGTTGGATCCATCTATGCTAGCCTCAGTGATAGAGGTTTTGTCTCTGGTACTTCCTGTTCCGGGAGTTTGAGTCTCCATTTTGAAATCATTTAGTTTGCTTTCAACTTTAGAATAATCATCAGCTACCTCTTCTTCATTTTCCTTTTCGGTTGAATCCTCAAAAGAGCTTAATAAGTTATGAAATCTTTGATTCCAGCACTAGGATTCTTACCATCAACAACCTTTCCACTCTTAGATGACAGTGAAATCCTCTCAAACACGAACCTTATCAACTTCAATATAGGTCCTCTTCAAATGGATACAGGAACAACCACAAATAACAGATATATTATGTTTTTAAGCAAAAATTCAGAATATGAGAATAGAAAAAACATAATGATAAGAAAAGCAAGCAAACACACCAAATTAACAACAAGCATCACATATAGTACTATACAAAATCAAGAACAACAACAACAACAACCAAGTCTTCTTTATCCCACTAAGTAGAGTCGACTACATGGATTAAATTCCACCATAATCTTCTATCTAGGACCATGCTTTTCTCCAAATAGTTAATATCTAGGTCTTTCTTAATAACTTCTCTTGCAGTTTTTCAAGGTCTTCCATAATCTTCTATCTAGGACCATGCATTTCTCCAAATCGTTAATATCTAGGTCTTTTTTAATAACTTAGCTTATAGTTTTTCTAAGTCTTCCTCTGACTCCTCTCCCTCTCCATTTGATCTACTCTCCTTACTACATACCACAAAATCTACAGATTTTCTCTCTAGATAGTCAAACCACCTAAGTCTATTTTCCACCATCTTTTCTACTACAGGTACTACCCCAACACTCTCTCTAATATTGTCATTTCCAGTCTTATCATGTCTAGTCTTACCACACATCCAACACAACATCTGCATCTCTGCTACCCTGACTTTATTCTCGTGTTGATTCTTAACCATCCAATATCCTGTCTCGTACAACATCGCATGTCTTACCGCAATTTGATAACATTTTCCCTTCAGTTTGAGCGATACCTTTTATGTCACATAGTATTACACAAAATCATTTTGATAAAGATAAATAAACGAAAAAGATAGAAGGAAAAAACAAAACCACCTTAACAAATGTGTAAGTGATGTATCAAATCACAACACCTAACAAAAGAATGCTCCAAAGACCAGTACATTATCACATGTTTTCTAAGATTGATCAACATTTTATAAAGGAACCTCAGTTTTGCAAACCAAGCATAAGTTGGTTACGTTGAAATGATGGTGAGTTTGGTAGAATCAAAGTCGACTTAAGTTTTTAGAAGCTCTATGTAAGTTAGTCACTGTTCAACCATGACAAAACAATTAGAGTCTCAATTTAACCACATTTTAACAGTGACAGATTTTATGAGACCCTATTTAGGCAGGGTTTAACCATGACAAATTTTGGACTCTGCAGTAGTTCATCTTATGTGTCCTCAAATACAGCCCTGAGTAGAATCACATTATGACACCACGATTTTGGCAAATGCTATGCGAGGTGAATTCTATGCGAGCTAATATGATTAATATATAAGAACAACTTTAAAATATACTAAAACTTGTTCAATGTTCAACAAATTCAGAATCTCAACACAGAACAGAATACATTTACAAATTGAACATCAAATACAGTTTTCAATTATTTTCTTACTAGTTTCTCGTGATTTCTTAGAATCTAAACACCTTAGGTTTAAAAAGAAGAAGAAACAAGGTTTAATCATGGTGAGGTTCCGATAGTACCTAGTCGAAGATGATAACTTACCAGAAACGCCGTATTCTCGACGGAGATGGAAGGGTGAACTAGGAAACGACGCCGTATGGTGGATGAAGCTATGAACTTCGAAGCTGTGAATTGACTCTCTCTCTCTCTCTCTCTTTCTGATAAAAACGATGTCGTATAATTTGACGTTGCGTGCGTTTTGAGTTTTTTGGAGTATAGTTTTTTTTTTCAATTTCTTTATATGTTTTTTATTTGTATTTTTTATTTGAAAAATTCTTAAATAGACACAAACATAACACTTGTCTTTACGCACAATCAATTATAATTTTTTATTAAATAAAAATAATAATAATTGTCTCTCTTCTTCTATGTCATAACCACCACATGAATCCAATTAGAACAGAAATTAAAATTTAAATAAATTTTAAATTTTCTCTTTTCTTATCGGTTGTTTATAAAAATATGAATATTTAACCCTCTAGTATGAGAAGGTATTTATAGCCACCAGCATTAGATCAAGATTACGCATTGGGCTGGATAGTTAGACTCAATAACAAAGACTATCAGGATTATGTGAGTAGTGGAGACCAGCATGTGGTCTCCTCCCTAGTCAACTACTCTAAGATGATAGGGAGATGGTTCCGTTATTTTCGGTGGGCAAGATGATGGTAACTCCGGATAACTGTTGGCCACGTCTCCTTGATGGGTACGTGGGGAACTACCCAATGGTTGCTGACTTGGGTCGTACGTTATTGGGCTATGGTAAAGGTGTTAGATTGGCCTTGCTCGACGGTGGGCTAAGCGAAGGCCTAGTCCAGAACAGTGCCCCCCAAGTTATTGCTCTTAGATGAAAGAGCGGTGACTTAAGACTAACTTAATTGTCGGGGAGAGGTTGTCCAACAAAGGGACTGTTAACTTTCGTCGGGGTCGTCATCGACACCCAAGATTGACAACCTAATGTATTAGAATAATCATTGTGTTTCGGTCGGGGGCGATATGATCGTCCAGATTATCAATTTCCTTGTCAACTTTTTATGGTCGTGCATTCATCCCCGGCGACGAACGTATGCATGTACCACGGTCGATCTATGAAGGTTAGAGAAAACACAAGTAAGGGGGAGTTGAATTGAGTTTTCTAAAATTTCTTTAATAAATAAAACTTTGTTTTATCACTAGCACACAATGATAAGTAGTTATTGTAAAGGAAAACCAAATAAAAAATAACACAATGATTTTTATACAAGTTCACCTTAAAACTAAGGCTACCTCTTGTCCGTCCGCCAAGGTGATTTCTCCTTTAACAAGGAATTAATTCACTAATCTCAAAAGATTACACAATAACCTCTAAGAGTCTAGAAAGACCTCTTAGCCCTCTCAAGTATACAGACTAGAAAGTCACTTAAGGAAATGTACAAACTTACACGTAAAACAATGTTTTGTGTTTACAAAAATATACTTCTATAAAGCTGATAAACACTAAATTTTCTATCTAATGAAGTTACACTTTTGAGCAACAACTCAGTGTAAGCGAATTTGTAACTGATTGAGAATTTGAGTGTGTGTGTGAAATGTTGTAGCACGATTTTTGTTATTTTGTTCTTGCATCTTTCAAACAGTGTGGAGATCCTTTTATAGCCATTTTGAAAATTGTTGTTGGGCTAGCTAGGCACGTTGAGACCATTCCTCAATACATGTTTCCTCATAGATATAATGATTTTTACCTTTGGAGGGTGTGTTTACTTCTTTTCATGTTTCCAAGATACTGTTTGAGATAAGTAATCATTGTGTTTGCCTCGAGAATAGTGATTTCTCATATGATCCTTCTGAATGTATCTTTTGAATATGTTTCTGATCACATAATTTTATATACTGATAGTTTCTAGAGTTTTTGGTCAGTGTTGCTTTTGATGTTGAGCTTTCTTTAACTTTGCTAGAATGCTTCTGATTTGGTTCGTGTGGAACTTTTGGTGTTTCACTAGATACACCTGCATTTTATAATACTTGACATGCACACATATAATTTGACATATAATTGTTATCATTAAAACTTAGAAATGGTTAGAAGCTTTCTTGCTCTAATATTCTCTCCCTTTTTGATGATGGCAAAATAGTACATTATGATTTGAAATTATATTTAGAGAACTCCCTTAAGATTATAGACTCCCCCTGAGTCTAATATTTGCTTCTTTCTGAGAGTGATTTCTCTTTTGGGTTTGAGGTTTCTTCGCTTTTCCTGTAATATTTTTAGAAACACTTTTTTTGGCAGAAAAGATTAGATAAAATGTGAGCATGGAGTTATGCGAGAATAGATATATATCAAAATCATCTGTTACTCCCCCTTTTTGTCATAATCAAAAAAATGAAACTTTCATTTGAAAAGGTAGAAGGTACAAGGACAGAAAAGAGATAAGACTAAAAACAAGAGAAGGTTTAAGGAGTTTTTGCTAAGGCGCTCTTGGTAAGTTAGGCAAGTATATTTTGGAGATTAGAATTAACTTCATCTTGCTTGTCAATTCTTTCCTTGACTTCCTTCTGATCTTTCTGAATTTCCTTCTTATCCTTCCTTAGTTCATACATAGAACTTAGAAGCTGGCATAAAACCACATAACTGTTTGGGGGTGCGTTGGTTTCTTCCAACCTCTTCCTTAATTGCTCTTCAAGAGCTTTCTCAGTTGCTTCTTCAGCTGCCTTTAGAGCTGCTTCTTCAGCTGCTTCCTGAGTTGCTTCTTTGGTTGCTTTTAAAGCTGCTTCTTCAGCTGCTTTCTGAGCTTCAGCTTCTTGATAGCGCTGAAGGGCTTCAACAACATATTTGGTTTAAAGATAAATAAAAGCGTTCTTAATTTTAAGAAGATGATTATCCAGAAAGTTCTGGAACATATCCCAGCTAGTTTTTGACTTCATCTATATTAAGACTTGAGCTTGAGTCTTCATGAAGTTTTATCAGTTTCTGTGTGGCATTGGCAGAGAGCTTGAAGAGCAGTTCTTCCAGATTGTTTGAAGAAGTGGATTGAGACTGAGTCGATGTAGATTCTATAGAGTGAGTGGCTTCAGAATCAGAGTGAGCTTCAGCAGATCCCGCTTGGTTCATGGGTCCATGGTCAGAAAGATCTGAGAAGTTGGTGCCTTATGGAATGGCTAAGGTGATTTGAGGAGAGTAAACTTCTAGGGTTTGAGTGGGTAATGAGGTTCGTGGTGAAAGAAACATAAAGGGTGTTGGTGTGGTAGAAGGAATGTCTTGAACGATGGATAGAAGGGGTGATGGTTGTGATTGAGTTTTAGGAGCAGTTTGAGATTATTGTTGTGGTGAAGGTGAAGATTGTTCAGTTTATAATTCAGGCAATTTGGATTTTTTTTTGGTGGGAGAAGAAGTGTCTATAAATGATGGTGGAGTGGATGAAGTTCTCATTATGGTTGGATTTTGTGGAGGTGGAGTAGGAAGGATGCACTTAGCAGTTTCAACAGAGGGAGCATAAATTTTAGATGCAGGAGACTTACTTGAAGTTTTAGAGATTGAGGTTTGGTTCTTGGTGGAAGATGCTTCTAAAATCTTCAGGACTTTCTGAGTGGTAAGATTCCTCTTTGACTTGGATTTTCTTTTCTTGGAAGGGACATCAGGTGGAGCATCCATAAGACAGTTGTAATCAAACTCATCTCGATCAAGGCCTTCTGCTTCAAGAAAAGCATCTATTATTTCGGGAGGATCAAGCTTGGTAAAAAGTGGAAACTCATCAGCAGGCGAACGAGTGTTTATCTATTTCTACTTCTTTGTTTCAAGAGAGGGCTTAACCTGAATCTTCTAAATGATACCTGTTGTACCCCAAATTTTGCCCTCTCATTTCACAAAGGATCATCCTGGATCCCAGGTTTGCTTCTATCAAGTTTCCAAGCCTTTAATTATCAATTTTTCCAAGCAAACCATTCACAGGGGCAAAATGGTCATTTACACACTAAGAAGTCTAACTTTGACTTTTGGATCAAAAAATCAAATCTCAAAATTCATATTTCATCAAGACATGTTGGAATATGAAGTTTGTTTCATCAAGAAATTCAAAATTTAAATTTACTATGGAAAAGTCAAATTTCTAAATACTTGGGATTTTTTCTAAGTATTTAAGAAATATGACCATTTCAGAACTTCTGGGCCAGTGTTCATACTCAGCAAATTCTGGATATTCTCAAGACAGAGTTTGGTCAGAACTTCTGGACCAGTTTTCACAAAAGCTTCAGTCAG